GTGTGTGTGTGTGTGTGTGTGTGTGTGTGTGTGTGTGTGTGTGTGTGTGTTTGTGTGTGTGTGTGTGTGTGTGTAGCAACTTGAGTGGAGAAGCAGTTCGTGTGGCAGTGCCAGTGATGACTACTTAGCGGTGACTAAGTGAGAGAACATTTAGCTGGGATCGCTCTTGCTGTTTTGAGAAACACTTCTTAGTTTTCTGTGACAGTTGCTTTGTGTGTATCAGTAGGTCTGCGTCTGAACTTCACAGCAGCGTGAAACAAAGACAGACCAGCAGAACAGCAGCTCACAGATTTACTTACTGAAATGTCTCTGACAAGCCACAAAACAAACCTCAGTGCACTGCTGAAAGGTTTAGCAAATGTAAAAATGTAGTTTTTTGAGGGAAACGGTTTTTAATATTTGTGTTCACAAAGATAAAACATGCACAAAAAAAAAATGATTTTTTTTATATGAATGTCTACACCTGCATTTGGAAATATGCAGCCATTTTATTATTAATGCATACTGTGATATCTATCCAAATAATGCTCTTTATGATGCTCTCAACACTGTTTTTAACATCTTGGCCACTGTAGTCTAAAGCAGTGGTTGACAACCCAGAGTGTTGCCCCCCCTCAGTCGGGGGTGCGAGAGAGTTCAGGGAGGAACAAGACTTTATTAGTACAAAGGTTGTCAAGATACTGTAAGTGTGTGTGTGTACATATATATATATATATATATATATATACACAGCATATTTGGGGGATTATATATGGACTGTACTTACATAGCGTCTTTCTATCAAGACACTCAAAGCGCTTTACACTACAATCTATGCCTCGTTTACCCATTCATACAGCACTCTACTAGATTTCTAAAAAGCTAATTGAACAAATCATTCTAAAGGGACTACTCAGAGCTTCATCACATTCATACACTGATGGGACACACATCAGAGGCTATGAGGGGTTCAGTGTCTTGCCCAAGGATACTTAGGCATGTGACTGCTGGTGGAATCGAACCCCCAAGTCTTGCATTGGAGAAAGACTGCTCTAACCACTCAGCCACAGCCGCTCTATATACTGTATGTACTGTATATGTCTGTCTGTCTGTCTGTCTGTCTGTCTGTCTGTCTGTCTGTCTGT